TTTGTGTGTGAGACAGGAAGTATGATTACTGTTCATGTTTGTGTGTGAGACAGGAAGTATGATTACTGTTCATGTTTGTGTGTGAGACAGGAAGTATGATTACTGTTCATGTTTGTGTGTGTTTGTGAGACTGGAAGTGGCTGTGGATGTGTGTGTGTGTTTGTGTGTAGGCATATGTGCGTTTGCTCGTGTCTGTGTATGTGTCAGTCTGAGACAGGAAGTGTCATTTGTCTGTGCCTATCTCACACTAAGTCTCAGTTTAAAGCTCATGTTGGGTCGTAGGTGGGAGGGGGGGGGACTGGCAATGACATTGTTGAGTGTTGGAGTCTTCTGTCATGTGCCTGTAGAAGAATGCAAGTGGGGTCTTTCAGAAAACTAACCTGTTGACGGATGCCTCTCAAATCGGGCTCTGTCGGCAAAGGTTAAATGTTCAAATCCTGAGGTGATGTGAGCACCTACTGCATGTTCTTTCCCCTGGTAGATATTTTAAACAAGAGGTAGGCAGCCTTCCATTGGACCAGCTTTGTAAGGTATAATACGTTTTTTGGGGGGCAAAGTTGAGTTTTTTCTGGGTGTTTCTATTGCTGTTTTTTCTAATTTGTTGACAGACAGATAGACAGCAGGTCTTAATGGCTGCCTGCCTCTGGTTTAGAATAGATATTTTGCTGTGTTGATTACACTACCATCTTTTTGACATTCTTAGTACGGTCAGATGTGATTAACGCATTTGTGTAGCAAAGCGACAAAATAGGTCACTTGTTGCACTCAGCGGTATCGAGATATCGGGCAAAGCCTTAATTTTCTCAAGACTGTTTTCTGACTCCCCAATTTCAAGTGGGCCCAACTCTGGAACCAAAGCAACAAGACAGATACTGATTTCACCTACTATTAAGGCTTGAGCAGTTCTTTAATTTATATCCATAGTGAAATATTGTCAAAAGAGACTTGTGACTCATTTTGTCATGTTGCTACACGTTTCGCTACCTTAGAATTACAAAGTTCCATCTGACATTTTTTGGCCGTTTTGAGTTACTAAGATCATGAGGCCAGAAACCAAATGTTCCATCTGCTCTATCAAAATCGTACTCTTATGCAGAGTCATTATCCAGATATTCCAAGAATTTCATTTTAAAAAAGCTTGGCATGTTGTGAAACTTTTTTTTTTTAGCAAGCCGCTGTTCTCCGGCGTCGCACCGCCGGTCTATTACTAATAATTTGTCGGCGCAGATTTGCAAATACCTCTCTCATCTGTTTGTCTTGGGAAAAAATTCCCACAACTTCACCACTTCGTGTCACTTCCATTGATACAGACGATAGGTTTTCAGACACAAACTGCCTCAATTCCTCCAATTTAGAATTATGTTAGGTGCTAGAAGAAACGTGTTCACCTCTAGTAACGCGAGTTCATAACAAAGAGTGAGCATAAGAAGAAGTTTACAAAAACGGAGATACGACAAGAAAGCACTGAAGTGGCGAAATATCAGTTAAATTTATCGAAAATTATAACAACAAGAGATAAGTAAACAGCAAGCTATACTATATGACAAGACAGGATTTTAGACACAAAATCAATTTTGTTCGTTTAAAGAAACAGAATCATTATTTTAAAATAAGCAAATTGACGACCCAAATAATTAATATAGTTACGTTAGACAATTATCACAGATAAAATATAATGAAAGGTAGGCTTACTAGGCCTAGAGATCTAGTTATTGTATAGATATCTCTAAATCTGCGCCGACAAATACATTGTAATTCATAAGTAATAGACTGGCGGCGCGACGCCGGAGAATAGCCACTTGCTTTTTTTTTAATCATCAAATTTCTCAAAACGAGGTGCTGAGCATATAGAACTTTGTAATTCTAAGGTAGTGGTTTGTCTTATGATTTTGTTTGCATGTATTCTGTGTCGGCATAGGTTGTTGTGTCTCAAAAGGTGTGAATCTTTTTTGTTTTTGATTTTTTTATTCACTACTAAACTAAGAACAATCTGATTGGCTGACACAGTTAGTCTTCAGTGTGCTGCGATGATTTGCCAAAGTCAAACTGTGGATGGTTGGAGGGAACCACTGGTAGATCCTATTGGGGTTTTTTCCCCTTTTTCATTCCCTCTATTACTTGTCTGTCTGTCTGTTTTACTTTTTCCCAAGCATTTAATTAATGACTGTTCTTGTGTAGATGTGCTTCTCTTAACTCAAATAGATGAACAAAACTTACACCAGAGTCAAACTGTGCCGTTGTGGCTTTTGTTTTTGTGCTATGGTTTACCAATATTAAGTGGTGAAAATAAGGCTAAAAAAATGTCTAGGTAAATAAGCATAAACATTTTCAATCATGAGCAAGGAAAATACCCAATTTTTTTAAAATAGCAGTTGTGATATATGTATTTAGAATTGAAGGAGGTGTGGTCATTATTTTTATAAGTGCCTGATTTCACCATGATGCAACACAAATAGTTCTTGGATTAGCTTGTTACTGTGTAAAATCAGTTTTAAGTTTTAAAAGAAGCAAAAAACGAGATAGATCTAGTATTTACTTTCGGGATTTCTTTGCAACTGATTGATTTGTGAAAGGTCTGTGTTGAGTGTTTTATATTTTTCCGTTTGTCCGTTTTCTTTTTTATTTGGCAAGGAGTCTAATGAGACGCTATTGTGTTCTTATGTTGTTCAGGCATGAAATATCTCCTTTATTCAGTCGTTTGCAAAGTGTTTTAGTGGGTGGTTGGCGGGTGCTCTAGTGTGGTTTGCTTCTTCTTTCCTATCAAACATCTCCCCATCTTCTTTTTTATGTTTGTTACTCTCTTGTAACACCTCTAATCTGCTGGCTCCCATGTGACCTTATGCAGTTGCGAGCGCCGTAAAACCTCTACTAAAAGAAAGTGTGTTATAAGAACTAATAGGCCAGTGGCCAGTGTCTATGGTGTAATGTTTAGATCGTTCAACTTGCATGCAAAAGACGCAAGTTCAATTACCATAGAAGACTGATAAATAATCAAGTGTCTTCTTATTTTTGCTGGGATGCACTGCCTCACTCTTGCAAAGCCAAAGTGGCCTGCTTCCTAAATGATCAAAATTGTGTAGAGGATTGTGTGAATCAAGCGCAGTCATTACAATATAATATTAAAACAAAATGCACGCATCAGCACTGGATAAAGCATGCAGATAGCAAAATAGGGTGTTGTAAGGTTTTGGCATAACTTTGATTAATTTTTGGTGCTGGACAAACGCATGGCATGTCTATTGTTGAACGTCTGTGTTTTTCTTTTCACTTTACTATGTAGTCAGCCAAAGGATGAAGGGTACCCATGGTAAGTCCCCACCTCTCTCTCTCTCTCTCTCTTTCTTTCTCTCTCTCTCTCTCTCTCTCTCTCTCTCTCTCTCTCTCTCTCAATCTCTCTCTCTCTTTCTCTCTCTCTCTCTCAACTCAAAACATATCTTTTGCTTTGCCTTTCCTTTCTTACTTTCTGTCTTGCCCTCTCCATATGACTCTTGCTCTACCTCTCTGTCTCTCTCGTTTTCTCTTATTTTCTCCCTCT